TTAACAATTGATTTGCTGAAATTTTTAAGAAAGGGGATTTATTGGAAATGCATCTGATATATTTAATGTATAAAACTATATTTAAAAAAAAAAGATGTTAAGATGATGAGGAGAGTCACCTTGTCAGCCGGGAGAGCAGCTCTAAGGGAGATGGTCAATTTAATCTTCACCAAGTCTGAGGCTTTACCATGAAAAATATGTGGTAAGTTTATATATTCCACAAATTTTATGGTAATAATATATATATAGGCATTTAACATTATTTTTTAAGGGTTCTTTTCTATCAGTGTTTGATTTTTAGAGTATCTAGTCTTACATTTGTTTTCTGTCCGGTATTGAGTGACCTGTGTTGGATAGAAACCAACTGTGTGCAAGTTATTATCAATGAATTTGTAAACTTATTTGGGTCGAACAAATTTTTATGCATAGTCTGTAACTGTTTGAATATTGAATTGATATAGAATCATTTTCATAAAAGTGTGGACAAGACGATTTCTTGGCGCTCTTATGTTATCTATTGACTGGGTCAGATAAGGTGAAAGTTTGTCTGTAATGCCCACTTGTCACATTGAATGTGTTATAGACATTTAAACTGGGCTCGCCAAAGGTTCTAAATGCCTACATCAAATAGTACGAATTACTAACAGAGGACTAAACCTTGTGTGTTGATTTAAATGTTGAATAATTATTTTCTTTTTTTCTTCTCTTGTGCCTACATGTACTTTGCTCTTTTATTCTATTTAAATCCCTATTGGAAGGCCTCTGACAAAAGGTACTGTAAATTCAGAAATTATTGCGTGCAATTATTAACAAATAAATTTGGTGTATTTACTGTCTTTTGATTGGTTAAAAGTATTAATTTTATTTTCAATGTTGTCAATTTTTATGGCGACACGCCCACTCTGACGTTGTATATTCATACGCCAACATCTGTGTACGTTGTTATGGTTAATATAAATTATATAAAAAGTTCTTTGAGCCTTATTTTTGATAGAAATTTATTTATATTGAATGGCTATAATTTATTTGGAATTCATTGAATCATAAAAATTAATTTTTGACTCTTCACATTTTACATAATCCGCTTTGCGGATTATTCAATGTGAAGAGTCAAAAATTAATTTTATGGTTCAATAAATTCAAAATAAATAATACTATTCATTAATTGCAATATTGTAATTTTAGACTAAAATGCGATTTTAATTTTTGCGATATTTAGAAAAATCCTGTTTAATTCATATAAAAAAATTCAAAATGCTAGTTTAAATTATTGCCAATACAACCATATTGCATTTTTCGCAATAATAAAACATTGCAATAGTTTTTGAATTTACAGTAATTGAGTTAGTATTATTACCAACATAAGTATTGGGGTTGTCTATGCTGTTATGAAAATGATTTTAAGAACCATCAAAAGAGATTTGTCTTATACATATACGTGCACTTGCACAAGGTCAATTTCTATCTCTTAGCAGTTTAAAGTTTATATAGTGAAGATGATAATGTATAATGGGTTTTAATAAATGAAACATAGCATTATTTTGTTAGTCTTCTTAGAGACAGATTGATCTGTAAAACAAGTAATTATTTTTTTATTTTTTTTATATTTAGGTTGTTATAATGATGATGTTTTCATGGTGTTGGGAGTAAGACTTGGATGTCTGATATTGTTAACATGTCGGTAGGTAATCAAGCATCTTTTTAGTAATATAATATTTGAAATCAATTTCATAAGGTTCTTTTCATACCAAAAAAATAATTTTACACTGATGAGATACCGGTTGAATTTTTTTGGTAAATATAAAACTTGAGTTTATAATTCAGAATACCAAATATTTTTTCCATGATTTTTTGTTATCCTAGTGCAATTTTAAATTTAGTATGTGTAATAATTTTTTTTAGGAAAGTTTAGTATGACTACTTTTATATTCCAGGTTAGCATCAGGTTTCCATTGGGTTACTTGCTGAGATAAAGCTGTTATAAGGTGAGAACTTATTCGTCCACATACAACTTTAATGTTTTTATGTTATAGTGTGATGAATGTCACTAAATAGATTTCAATATATATACTTTTTTTTAATTTACAATTAAAAAAAAATCAGTATTCAATCTTTTCATTTTAAAATAATGTACCCTTTAAAGCAGATACTAGATATGAAGAAGATATATGAAGGGGAGATAACAATTAAAAAACAATTTTATAAGGGGATTTCTTATCTTAAAGATGCTACGTCATTCCAGAATAGATTATGGTTAAAGCTTGATAAGTATTTCTTTGGACTTAATCAAGATATATATCTTTGTGCTGTTTATATTCCCCCTTTTTCATCAGCACATTATGATAGTGACTTAGAAAATCTTGAAAATGAAATTAGTTCATTTTCTATTGAAGGACAAATTATTTTAATTGGGGATTTTAATTCTAGAACTGCAATGAAAGCAGATTACATAGAAAATGACTCAGATGAAATAAATAATTTTGATGGTATTGACCTTCTTCCAGAGAGCTATATAACTGATATTGAAATCAGAAGAGTAAACCAAGATAACACTTTGAGTACATTGGGGAATAAATTACTTGAATTATGTTCATCCTCAAGGCTACGTATACTCAATGGCCGTTTTTTGGGAGATTCCCTAGGATATTTTACTTATATGTGTAATACTGGGTTCAGTACAGTTGATTATGCCATTGCAAGTGAGAGTCTCCTGCCTGAGGTAAAATACTTTAAAACAAATGACTTTACATATTTATCAGATCATGTTCAAATAAACATATATGAATTAAATTGTTCTATTATATCAGATACATGTATGAAGAAATGTCTAGATGAAAAGAGATGGCATTTGATTAAATCATACAAATGGACAGAATTGTCATTTTCAAAATTAATTGATGTTCTATCAACAGAAAATGTTAGAAAGGAAATTTACGATTTAGAGATGCAACATTTTGATAGCAATAAACTAGGCGTTGATGGTGCAACTGAAAAACTTACAAAAATTTTACAAAATATTGCAGAAAATACATGTAAAGGCATATCTAAACCAACTAAAAAGAAAAAGAAAAAAATTAAACAAGTATGGTCAGATAGTACAGTATATGAAACAAAAAGACAAACTATAAAGGAAATAAAATCAAGAATAACTTAAATGACAAAAGTTTAAAACCTAAATATTTTGAATTATGTACAAAACTAAAAAAAAAATGATTACACAGAAAAAGTTTGAATATCACCAAAAACTTTATAAATCACTTTCAGATAATTTTAAAAATAATCCATAAGAATACTGGAATGTTCTAAAGGCATTAAAAAAAGAAACCAAATATTGAAGAAGATATTCCTGAAATTTTAATGAATGAAAATAAAATCATAAAACATTTTCAGGATCAGGGTACACCAACATCATATGATAAAACCTTTGTAAATAAACTGGAACGTGAATTAAACATTCTAGAGGATAATATTGAATTGAATATGGAAACTGATGCACCAATTACATTTGCTGAGGTAAAACTGGTCATTTCAAACCTTAAAGTAAACAAATCAGCAGGTCCAGATAGAATTGTGAATGAAATACTCAAACATTCACAACCTGTGATAATTAATTCTATTGTAAAAGTTTTTAATTTGATTTTAAAGACAGGTAATTATCCAGATTCATGGAAATTATCTTTCATGATCCCTTTACATAAAAAAGGTGACAAGTTAGACCCTAATAATTATAGAGGAATTTCTCTTATAAGTAATCTACCAAAACTTTTTAATGCCATATTGAATAATAGGCTAATCAAGATTGTTGACAAACAATTAAGTGATTGTCAGTTTGGTTTCAGAGAAAATCACAGAACAGCTGATAGCATCTTTTTATTGAAGTCCTTGATTAAGTGAGCAGCTAAATGAACATATAAATTCGCCTTTTTCACAAGATGAAATTCTTCAGTGCATTAAGAAACTGAAGAATGACAAAGCTTGTGGAGAAGACGAAATTATAAATGAATACATAAAATCCACATCAAGCCATTTTATATGTATTTATGAGAAACTTTTTAATATTATATTCAATAAAGGCATAATTCCACAAAGTTGGCTAATTGGTACTATTAAACCTGTATATAAAAATAAAGGCGACTCTAAAGATCCAAAGAACTATATAGACCAATCACTATTGTTAGTTGCTTGGGAAAACTATTTACTGGAATACTAAATAAAAGACTAAATGATTTTTCAGATGAATTTATTATCATACAAGAAAACCAGAGTGGTTTTCGTCAAAAGTATTCTACTACAGATAATATGTTTACCTTATATTCTTTTTTTGAACTGTTGAAATGTAAGAAGAAGAAATTATACTGTGCCTTTGTAGATTTTGAGAAGGCATTTGACACTGTATGGCGAGATGGTTTGTTTTATAAAATGCTATTGAATAATATAAATGGTAAGATGTATAATGTTGTATTGAATATGTACAGTGATATTAAATCTCGTATATCATATAATAATTGTAATTCGGAATACTTTGCTTGTGACAATGGTGTAAGACAAGGGGAAAACTTATCACCTTTCCTATTTTCTTTATTTTTGAATGACTTAGAAAATTTCTTAGTCAGTAAAAATATCACAGGACTTAAAACTATTTCAGAAGATCTGGAAAGAGAATTAGAAATATATTTAAAGTTTTTTATTATATTGTATGCAGATGACACGGTATTGCTGGCCGAAACAGCACAGGACCTGCAGACTCAACTCAATGCCTTTCATGATTATTGTAAGGTTTGGAAATTGAAGGTAAACGTTGACAAAACCAAAGCTTTAGTGTTTGGTTTTGGACGTTTGCCAAAAAATCTCAGATTTTCTTACAATGACACTAACATTGAGATAGTAAAGCAGTTTAACTATTTGGGAATTATTTTTACTAAAACAGGGAATTTTAATATGACAAAAAAACATTTATCCGATAAGGCCTTAAAAGCCATGTACGAAGTCCTGAAAATGGGAAGGATGTATCAGCTTTCCATAAAATGTCAGCTAGATCTTTTTGACAAAATTGTCAAGCCCATTCTGTTGTATGGGTGCGAAGTATGGGGTTTTAGTAATAATGAGGTATTAGAAAAGATACATTTAAAATTCTGTAAATTACTTTTAAATCTGAAATCCTCAACACCAAATTATATGGTTTACGGGGAACTAGGTCGCCATCCGGTTGACATAGATATAAAAGTTCGAGCAGTATCATTTTGGGCAAATTTGATTTACGGCAAACAAGCAAAGTTTTCCTTTATATTGTATCAACTTTCTCGCCATATGAATGCTCATTATAATATGCAGACTAAATGGATTCTATTTGTCAAAAAAATATTTCAAGATTGTGGTTTTTCGTATATATGGGAAACACAAAATTTTATAGATAAAGATTGGTTAAAAACTGTTATAAAGCAAAGATTATTAGACCAGTTTCTTCAGAATTGGAATTCCCTTATTCAAAATTCGTCAAAAGCTATAAACTACAAAATTTTTAAGAAAAACTTGGAATTTGAGGAATATTTTAATATTTTGGACTTTAAAGATGCCGTTGTTCTTTGTCGATTTAGAACGACTAATAACAAATTGCCGATTGAAACAGGAAGGTGGCAAAACGTATTGAGAGAAAACCGTGTTTGCCATCAATGTAACAATCGACAAATTGGTGACGAATATCACTATATATTTGAATGTACTTTTTTCGATCAAAAACGTACAGAGTATTTATCCTCCTATTTTGTACAACGACATAATAGATTTAAATTCTCGGAACTTATGTCGAGTACACGGAAACCAGTCCTGAAGAAACTTTGTTTATTTATAAAAAATGTTAATACTTTTGTTTGTCCTCCTGGCTAGTGACTTCTGTAACCTCTCTCCTTGTTTTGTATATATTGTAAATAGTTATTGTTGTTATCTCTGTACTGATGTAATGCATTGGCTTTATGAGAAATAAAAAAAAAAAAAAAAAAAATTAATAAATATCTACATAAAGAGAAAAAAAAGATTTATGCCTGCTTTATAGATCTGAAAAAGGCTTTTGATTCAGTATGGAGAACTGCTTTACTTTATAAATTATGCAAAATAGGAGTTGGCAGGTCTTTTTACAGAGTTATAAAACAACAATACTTAAATACTAAATCATCTTTGAAATACAAAGATTATGTATCAGAATTTTTTAATATTGCTAGAGGGGTTAAACAAGGAGACACCCTGAGCCCCACTTTATTTAATGTCTTCATAAATGATATTGTAAAAAATTTTGAGGGAAATGATTCAAGTCCCCTTAAGCTTATAAATAGTAAGGTGGGATGCCTCCTTTTTGTAGATTATCTTTTGATCCTGTCAGAATCGAAAGAGGGTCTTCAAAACAATTTAAATAATGTTAAATTATATTGCAACAAATGGCAACTCTCTTTAAATACAAACAAAACAAAATCCATGATTTTCAGTCAGTCAAAACAAAATGGTGAAACACCTCATATTTACTATGAGAATGAAGCCATAGAGAGCGTATCAGAATATTCATTTTTGGGAATGTTGATAAAATGTAATGGAAATTTATCACAAAGTACCTTAGAGCTGACAAAAAAGGCAAAAAAAGTATTTTTTGCAATAAAATCCTATACTAAATCATTGAATAATCTACCTATAAAAGTAGCAAATAACCTTTTTGATTCTTTAGTAAAACCAATTATGACCTATAATTCAGAAGTAACATATTTGGATACATATATTTCTTTTCATAGAGCCAAAAACAGAGCCTTATCTTCAGGAAAACAAATTAATCAACTTGATTTTACAGACAAAACCCCTATTGAAAATATGCATCTTAAATTTTGTAAATCTACTCTAGGAATAAGAAAAAATGCATCCAATTTAGGAGCAAGAGTTGAATTAGGAAGATTGCCTATAGAATGTTTTATTAAAACACAAACCCTTTTATATTTAGCTAGACTATATAATAATAATATTAATCCATTGATAAAGGAAGCTTTTTCTCTAGCACAGTCTCTAGATTTGACTGGAACTTATTCATGGTATACATATGCAAAAAATATTGTTGAAGAGACTAATATTGACCTTAATATTTTTTCTAATTGTAAGGACATAAAAGATGTAAATAAAATAAAAAACGATATAAAGTAAAAAATGAAAAATAAATATGAAGATTTAATTGAAACTAAATTTGAAAGCATTGATGATAAAAGTAAATTTTATCTATATAAAAAACTTAAAAAGGATTGCAAACTAGAATCTTATCTAAATATATCTAATTTTTAGATAAGGAGATTGATCACTAAATTTAGACTAAGTGATCACTCCCTCTTAATTGAAAAGGGGAGATATTTTAAAATCCCAAGAGAGGAACGACTTTGTCATAAATGTAAAATACTAGAGGATGAGAAACATTTTTTACTCTATTGTGATTATAATAAAACACTAAGAAATGCCTTTTTTGAACACATATGTACTGAAAATAATAACTTTAATAATTAAAATGAAGAAGAAAAAATTCATTATTTACTAAATCCATCAATGCCTTTACAAACAAATAAGTTAGGATCCTTCTTGAAAAAGCCATTAGAACTGAGGGCAGGGGACTCAACAACTTTGTTTGTTTTTATAAATTTTGATGCTATTTTTATTGTTTGTTTGTTTGATATGTATGTATATATGTTTATTGTGTTAATACATGTTGGTCGCAAACTGTAAAGTTTATAAGACAATAAAATATTTGATTTGATTTGAATAAAATCGGATATTTTTGATACTACATGTATATATTTTTGAGTAATCAATATAAGTAATAAACAAATTGTTTAACATACACTGATATCTGTTTCTTTATTCCCGTTAGATTATTTTAAAATTAAGAATCATTAATTGAAATTTAACTTTGTTTCTTTTTCAGTCGAAAGAGTTGCTGTTGCTGCCTTCCTTGTATGGTAAAATCCTCAGACTACAATCCTGCAAACCATTGGATGAACTGTTGCTATCTTTTGTAAAAAAAATCAGCAGATATTTGTCTTATAAGCAGAATGAATTGTAAATGCAATTAATTTTTAATGCTTTATTATTCAAATTATAAATATTTATTTCATTATTTTTTCTTGCATTCAATTATTGTTTTGTGATTGAAGAAATATAAAAAAAAACTGTGAAATTATTGTTATTTGAGAGGTCCCAAAGGTATGATGTATGGTTTCACAAGATACCCATAAGACTTGCTTCAGTTTACATATATTTTTTAAGTTATGTACACTGGTTAAGAATAATAAGTCCTTTGTAAAATGATTTTTTCTGGTTAGAAACCAATTAAGTAGGACTTTGATGGCCAAACACTAAAAGGGAATAAAACAAATCCCCTATTAAGCAATTTAAGTACTGAGTTTTTGGTGCAATATGAACTAGAAATAAAAATGTTTAGTTAGATGGTTTGTTTTGACTCTGCATTCTTTACATTCATACAAATTAATGGCTGTCAGTTTTATTTATTAGTTTTGTTTATATATTATAAATGCATTATTCAGCATCTGAGACCACTCAAGTGAAAATAATTACATAGTTTTTGCAGTTTGTCATATTTTCTCATTTTTGTGTGATTGATTTCTATATTTTTTCTCATTTATGATTATTTATATTTTAATGTTTGATTTTTGAGGCTTGTACTCAGTTTCTAAACAATTACCTCCCCCTCCACATGTATAACCAGGATCCTGTAAAAGAAGTTTTGATTTTGAAGGATAGATGGATGATTAAAAATGCAAGATTTTTTTAATGTGCTAGTTCATAATGTAAAAGTCTGCACAAGACATCTAACCCTACCTGAACACATTATTCTGACTTCCAGCTGACCAGTCTTTGCTCCTACTCCGAATTGCTGAATGCTTAGCAGGGGAGCATCAAATACCAATTTTCAATTCTTTGATATGACCCAGGGCAGGACCAAATCCCATGCCCATCTGCACTCATGTTAGCATAAAAAGGTTATTAAAGAAGATTTATCTGTCTGTTTGTTCTTCATCATCTCTCATCCACAGCCTATAAACTATTGGAAGGTTTTCATTTAAACTTTCAGATTATCTTCTGTATCTAATGGCTGTGTGAATTTTATTTTGTTATAATGAAATTTTGGGGTTCTCAATTGTAATGAATGGACCTAAGTATTTGGAAAAAAGGGAAAGAAGCTTCTCATACCACCATTTTATCATGTGAAGGATAGGTTGGTTCAAATATATTTGTTTTTAATCATGTTTTTAGTAGTTAAATCTCATTATGACAAAATTTTAATGACTAAAATTCAAAATTAATTTGGGGTTCACACTGATATATATTACCACTATAGCTTTAATGTAAATTTTATAAGGCTTTGCTATAACAAGATTTGTGTTTTATCTGGTTTTATCTGATTTTAGTGGATTTTTATGTGATTTTATTTGTTTTTACTGTCAAATCTTGTTATACCAAGCCTTAGTATGATTGAGTTTATATATTTTGATTATACATGCAATTCAAAATATAATAAATTTACATAATGAGATCAGACATTTATTATGCTTTTAACTCTTCTTAGTGGATATAGAAAAATGAATGAACATAAATATTGAAGTGGCTGTTGAAGATTGACCAAATTACAAGATTTATAAATGCAGAATCTTGCTCTAACTAAATCTATGTTCTTATCAGCTGAACCAACCTATCCTTCAATATGAGTAATAAAATTTTATAAATGGAAAAGACCATTCTTCGATTGGGGAACCTTTGGATGTGAAAAAGATGTACACAATGCCAACAAATACTGAAGATTATTTGAAAGTTTAGGCAAAAACAATTCAATCCTTTAATTGTGATTAGAAGTTGTAGACGGATGAGCAAACAGATGATATACTTGCTTACTATGGCACATTTCCTAAAGGATATGGACTATGGGTATGGGTTTTGCTCATGGTTGAAGGCTGTAGGTGACTGATAGTTGATAAATTCTATGTCATTTGGTCTCTGGTGGAGAGTTGTCTCATTGGCAATCATATCTCATCTTTTTATTTTATATGAAATAATTACTTATTACTTCCTGGGCAATAAGTTCTGGTTCCAAGAAAATAATAAAAAAAAATATTTATATCATACATGTATTGTTAAATAACTATCCTACTTTGATATAAAGAATTGACTTTGGTTAGAAATTGGAGGAATTATAAAGAAACTTTATATACAATATAAGAGCTTGGGGTTATAAATGTTTAATGAAATGCAGTTAACTATTTCCTTGGTGATCTAATAATTTTTGCACAGCTCACGATATTAGTTTATTTAAATAACCCAGTAAATAAATTGAATACACCTCAAAAAAGAATTTGATTCATGTATTTTTATGCATTTTTTATCTTAGTATTTACCATTGTATTCCTTGTTATATTTGTAAATGCCTCTTCGTATGTGACAAACTGAGGATTCATATATTTTATGGAATTATATAAATTTATTTTAAGTTTGGTATTTAAAAGTATTGGAAAGCACCAAGATTAATATTGAGCAAAAAAAAATATTCCTTTAAGACCTAAGGATATTAAAATTTTAAGACATGTATCTCAGAACAGAATTGATTTTCTAAATTCTATTTAAACAGCTAGTCTGGGAACTGGTATCAAGAAACTAAAAAGAATCCTCAGCGCTGTCAGTTATTTTGTATAATTGTAATATTTAACCAATGATACCTTACCCATGATGCAGTTCCTTTTCCTCCTTTTACTTATAAAGGGACTAAAAACTTATTATTATTACAATTTCTTTGGTATTTGTACACACTTGATGGAGCAGAATGGGTCTGGTTTCATTTGGGTATTTTATATTATGATGCATGATAATGATATAAATAAATAGGTAAATAAAAATTTAATTGAGAAAACCTATCTTATATTTTATTTGAGTCTGAATGACAAATAAAGGGGGAAGAGGTTTCTGTGGTCAAGGGTAACTCACAGCTGATTTATTGTATGGTATGGACGAAGTTGAAAAAGCGAGGCTTGGGCATGCTTTTTCTATAAGCAGCAGCTTCAACAATGTATTTGATTGTGATAAGTTCAAGTTAAAGAAAACAACTAGTGGTAGGTCAATGATATTTGGTATGCAGTTATATAAGCATTGAAACATCTTATTTCTAAGGAGATTATTTTGCTTCTCTCCCTCAGTCATAGTCGACTTAAAACAATTAGTTTACATGTATAAGTTTGTGATTAGGTCAATTGAAAGGGAACTATAAGTGGTATGTCAATGATATTTGGTATACAGATGTATAAGCATTGACAAATCTCAGTTCCATAGAGATTGTTCAGCTCCAGCCTCAGTCATGGTTTATTGACTGAATGTTTTGCATTATTTACATGTGATTTGTGATTAGATCAGTTTAAGATGAGTGACTAATATCTGATATTTGGTATGCAGTTGTATTTGCATTTGCAAGTCTCATTTTCATAGAGATTATTTGGTCCCACTTCCTTATCATGGTTCATGGACTTTGAAACTTTCACAGTTTAACAAGGAACCAATTGATAAGTCAATGGTGTTGGGTATGCAGTTTTATAAGCATTAGCATTTCCATGGTGTTTTTATTTTGCCCTGAACCATCAGTCATGGTTCATTGCATACATAAGTTTAAATATTGCAATTCAATTTCAACATTTGCATTATACCACCAAAAAACGCAAGACACATCTCTATGTCAACAGTTTATATTTCCATCTCTCGGTATCTTTCAACATCATGTTTTGAGTTTTAAATGTCACAGAAACTTCTTTGCTAGTTTAAACAAGACTTGACACAAATGATACTTAGGAATTACATGACAGAAATGTTCATTGGACTTGCTGATTACCTGATTGGCTGCCAAGTCTTTAAATAGATCTAGAATTCTAAAATGATCTAGTTTATATAAAGGCTCATCAGATACAAAACACAGGGATACAGATCTAGCAGTGGATGTTCCTGATATAAAACTTCATAATCCAGACTGAAGAAAATGAGTTAATCCATATCTTGTATGCAGTTGCCTTATGGTCTGGTTTAATCTGGCATATGAACATTATCTTGATTCCATTTTTAAGGGTATTTGTACATTATTTGTTTTCAAATTAATTTGACAGTTTTTATGTGTAATAAGGACAATTACTTCTCTTATGGTTATTGCCTGTGATCTATTTCTCACATGAAGAGATATATTTTGTATCACATTGCATGGATTGGGATGAGAAAAAGGTTTACGAAAAATTTGTTAATTTGAGTGGCTTATCCTGCACCATTTGGTCATCATTTAGGATCCATGATTTGGTCTGTTCTCGGTCAGATTCTCTAGGTCAACAATGTATGGTGTACAGAATGATTGTAATGTGAATATGATTGTCTGATGAGATACATTTGACCTTGGCCTTTTTTTGAAGTGTGGTCAACATAAAGTTTTTATAGACTGCAACACTTTTGCCATTTTATAATGGTGTGGATATGTCGTCATTGTGGTCTGTAGACATATGTTTTCCAGACAATAACTCGAGGATAAGTGTATAGATCTCAAAGAAATAAAACCACAAGGTCCCATACCACAAAAGGAAGGTATGAATTGAATTTGGGGTTATTGCCCTAACAGTTTAGGAATAAAGGTTAAAAAAAAAAGATTTTCCAGGGTTTCCAGACCATAACTTGAGAATAAATCCATGGATTTTTATGAAATTATTATACAAGATTTCAAACCAAAAAGGGAAAGTTTAAATTGATTTTGGTGAGAATGGCCCAAACTGTTTATGAATTAGGAACCAAACAAACACCAATACTTTGTATACATTATTTGTTTCTTGACCAATTTCAATTTCGATGAGAATCATGTACTCTTCGGGTTCTTTAATAGAGTATCTAGCTGAATGGATGTTCGGATTGGGCAATACTGTGTTGTATGATATATCAGGTTACAAATTTTGCAAGCATTGAACGAAGACCGTTCTGTAAGTAAGGAAAAGATACCACGGTCGCGAAGACTCTGATCCACTTTAACTTGCTTTTCACTCAGAAGAGCTGCTGCTTTAGCTGTAAATATTTTATGGAATCATAAAACTTTATATCGTAGAAAAGGCATCTATCTCTTCCCTACGTTCTGGGTAGGCACTACACATTATTCTTTTATAATTCCCAAATGCCTAAATGAATTCTTGAATGGAAAGATGTCTACTTAATATGGGTATGGTCTGTTTGACACATTAACTTGAACCCCATTTCGATTACAGAATGACTCAAGGGAGCTTAAAAATTGGGAATAAGGAGAGTATAATTGTTTAAATCTATTTCACAGATTTTAATGATAAACTTCAACGGTACCAAGATGCAAATTTTATGCAGTAATATAGAAGTTCTGGTAAAACCAAGACATTGCCGAAGAAGGATATAATAATCTATGATCAAAATAAAGAAATCCTATGTCGTAATAATGATATTAGATGTCATAGTTATAGTTATGCAGTAATAACGACATAAGATTGTCGTAATAACAAATATGATAGAAATGAACCATCAACAACCACTGAACAGGGACTTTCTATACTAGTTAGTATAGACTGTCCCTGCACTGAACCACAGGCTTCTGACTAGGGACAGGTACATAGAGAATGTGACAGGGTTAAACATGTTTGACCCTTCCCTAACCTGGGACAGCACAACTCAAGAACATACTTTACAAAAGAATAAACGAAAACCAAATATAAGAAACAGCAATAAACGACAACCACTCAATTACAGGCTCTTGACTTGGGACAGACCAGAGACATATATGTGTATATATAAGGCCGTACTTTGACCTATAATGGTTTACTTTTACAAATTGTGACTTGGATTGAGAGTTGTCTCATTGGCACTCATACCACATCTTCTTATATCTATATATGTTTCTGGACAGACATATATTGAATGTGGCGGGGTAAAACATGTTTTTAAGGCGCCAACCCTCCCCTAACCTGCGCCAGTGGTGTAACAGTACAACATAAGAACAAACTATAAAAATCAGTTGAAAAAGGGCTTAAATCATCAGATCGATACAAAGCAGAGAAACATCTAACAAAATGGCAGGGTATTTATACATCCCTCTGATTGTTTCTGTAAATTTTTTTTATAACTTTAAAAGACTAGAGGACACTTTATAGCTTGACATATAGTATAAACACCATTCAATGTGTGAACCTTATAATGATGTATTTCTTATTTGTAAAAGTGGTAATAATTTAAAAGCGCAATATCATAAATATTGACTGAGACATAAAAAGTTATATAGGAATCAATGATACGTACATGAAAAGTAAAAAAGTTATAAAGGAATCAATGATATGTACATGAAAAGTAACTCTTTGTTCAATCTCATATCTTAGTTATATAGGGAAATAGATTATTGTACTTAGATATCAAATATATAGCTATCTCCTTTTTTTATCAAAAGTGGGCATATACCACTATAAGATTCACACGACACAGTTCTGTCTATTGTTGAAGATTGTAAGTTGACATCTAGATGTCTTTTGGTTAGTATTGTTGTTGAATTGCTGTCTTATTGACATATCCCCCTCATCTCCTTTTATTCAAATCCATGATGGCATTTTTTTCCACATTGGAAGCTAAGTACCAATCGGAATATTCAGAGATTGCTATGACTTCTGACAGGTTCTTTAAGGAAACTTTGTGAAAAAACAATGCTATAATACTGTTAAAATATTTTATACCTTTATTCTGTTTGGAACATAAACTGTAATTCTTTTTTTCATATGCAATATTTCCAGAATTAAACAAGTATAATAAAGAACTTCTATTTCAAGACAGTAGAAACCTAGAGTCAGCGTCTGTGCACATATGAGTAGCCATAATTTGTAAACTCAATATATATAATAGAATAAATTTGTGAATTTTTATTAGACTTGGTTCATATAATCAATCACCTCTAAGATGATAAATATCAATAACATCAAACAAATCTGAATATAAAAATAAAAACAATCAATACAATGGATTTCATATATATTTATGTATATAGTTATGCAAAACTTTATACAATAAAGTTGTTTATACATTTGAGTTTTGGAGCTTTTCTTTTAACAAAGTATTCAATGTTTTTAATCTGTTCAAGATTTTATTATACAGGTAAACTTGTCGTGAGAGGTTTGATAGTAAATTCTAAGTGTGGCGTAGAATTATAAAACATGAGGTTTGCATTTAAAAATGGAAAAAAATCAACTGTCGAAAATAACTCCAATCCTAAATAAAACCTGTTGTTCAATCATTTTTTTTTAACATCAAATGGATTAACCATATAAATAAAACAAAATGATATAGACAAACAGTGATTGAATCCATTCATTTCTTTTGTACATAAATGTAATGCCCTTTGTTCATACTTAAAATCATCGAATTTTAAAAAATTGTTCCAGAGTAAAATTGGAAATTAAATTATCTCCATAATAAAAGCCTATTTTTTCCCAATACAGACATTTCCTTAATCCTGTATTTAACATAAAAATCATAATTCATACATACCTGAGTTATTCCCCTTCCTGAGTTTGATTAATTAGTTTTTGTTTGCTTTATGTCAAGTGGCAAATATTTCCTTCATATGCAGAATAGTTTTCATCATATTTTTAACTGTATGTAAAGTTTCCTTACCAAAATCTTATTTGAAAGCTGAGAAATTTTGTATACAGTCAAACCTGCTATAAAGGTCACCTACCTCTAATAAGTGAAAACCTCTCGTGTCAGGTCACCCTCTTACTGCCCCACTGTAGTTATAGCTATGTATTTAGACCATCAATTCAATGGACATCTCTATCATAAGGTCAGATTTCTATGGTCTAACAGTTGACATTTATACACAGGTTTGACTGTATTAATTAAAATGCAATCTTCTCACCCTTACTCTTCATTGCAGAAAACCATAATCAGGAAAGATAATAATTCACATTAAATCAAAATTTTAGATTACATCTAAATTCAAGATTTCTATAGGACTTACTGAAACAAGAATATAATTTGAATGTGCACAAACTATCACCTGTTATATCATCTCTCACATTTCGTTATTATGTAAATTTCTATAGACCACCTTATTTTTATGAGAGCCTTCTTTACATGAATCTCTAATGGAGGAAAAAAATCGATAAAAATAAATTGTTCCAAATATGTAAAACTTGGATTTCTTTTATAGGAATATACATCAAAAAATTAGGAAATCAACAAAATAGACCAACTCAATATAGTCATCTAGAAAGAGATAGACAAAAAAACTTACATGTAGTTTAAAATGATGAGTTAATTTACAGTACAATATGTCAATTTTTACAAATTTATTCCCCCAATTAAGTTTTGACAACTATATCAGTTTGAGGACAGCAAAAACTATCCAGCTCTTTTAAGTCATGATGATTTACATGTAATAACTGGTTTGAGTTTTTGAACTCTTTTATAGAAGTCAATAACTTGGAGAGGTGTAAAAGCTCTGTTTTAAGTTTAGGAAATTACAATTTTCCCCAGTTAAGGCAGATTTCCAGATGTATCTCAGTTGGGGGCCTCATATTGCTATAAAAACAAGCATTCTGTGAGTATTGCATGGCAATACATAGTCCCCTACCGGTTAAAAATTCATTGTAATGGAACGAAATTCTAACTTGATCTATAACTTGTCATGGTGTAAACTACATAAAAATATCAAGTCAAAATCCTCAAGCATGACGAAAAAACTGTTGAAAACTGATTATTTAAGTGAATATGTCCAAAGACCATAACTCTGCACAAAATCATCAGACCGGAACAAAATTCCAATTTGTCAGATCTGTAACTTGTCATGATAAAACTATATACTTATTATCAAATCAATATCTTCAAGAATGACCAACAAACCTACCACTAAATTCTTCAAACAATTTACCAAAGAAAAGGAAAATAAAACAAAATTTCATTTTGTCTTTTAAAAATCTTTTAAAAAATGAGTTATTTCCCTTTGAACAGAAATCTACTAATTAATAAGTATTTCACAAAAATTTAATTCTAGGGAAAGGGCTTTAACTGAACAAAGAGAAAAGCTAAAATCATGAAATTTGAACTTGACCTGTAACTTGTCATGATAAAACAATAAACCAAATATCAAATCAATATCTTCAAGCATGAAGAAAAAAAGTCTAGAAAACTGATTTGCCGTACTGACAAATGGACAGACAGACAGACAGACGGACGGAGTGCAAACCTAAAGTCCCCTTCGACTTCGTCGTAAGGGGACTAATAAAATATGAATCTTGAGAAGAGATATAACAGTTACGGTAAAGGACTTCTGAATATACCGTTGATTCTTTGTTATTCGTGGGGTACCAATTTTCGTGGATTTCGTGGATATATGTGAACTATGAAATTTAGCTTTCAACAAAGTACAAATTTCCTATTAACTGGCATGCAGACTTTGGCAAAACCATGAATGAATTATCTTTCAAAAAATAAAAATTTTCCCCAATCCACATACATTGATACCCACAAAAATAACTGAATCCACAGAAATGATTTGGACTGTTTAGTTGTAAAAAAAATTTAACATTATCAGAATCATAGGAATTGATCTTGGAAATAGATGTACATAACATTTTACTGATAGACAATGCTATAAAAATAATAAAAAAGAATTAAATTCTATGAAAAACAAACACAGGCAACAAATAAAAAATATATGTAAATGCTCAGCATCCATTAAAGCACTAACAACTTTTCTACTTTACTAAAATATTCTCAAAGAATTGTTTGATAGCGAAATACTCTTGGAGATTAGCACTGGTGTGAAAATACAAAAAAGTGTTTTAAATGCTAATTATATAGCCGTGTCTTTCCAAAAGCAAGAGTTTGACTCTTAAATTATATATGAGTTTTCTTCCCTTACATTGATACTACTGTTCTTTTTACAAAGAAGATTGCAAAATTGACAATTTTAAAATAAACATGGAAGAGAAATGTGCTCAAAATTTATCAATCAAACAATGATCACAAGATAAGCTAGAATTACTAAGAAAATAAGCTTAAAACTCTGAAAATCTAGCCACCTAAATGATGATGTTGACTTTGACAATACTGTGATGATTGATCATATTTACAATGAAAATAATGATATAAATTGTTTACAATAAACATTTTATATAAAGCTTTGTACTGTATACATCTTCTTTGCAAACATCACAAACCAGAGATCCATTTATATATGATACAGGCACGGATCCAGCCATTTTGAAAAAGGGGGATTCCAACCCCGGGAACACCATGAAACCTTTCACATAATATTTAAAAAAAAAATCAACAACAAAATAGGAGGGGAACCCCTTTACACCCCCTGGATCTGGCAATGTGATATTTACACTTTAAATATGTACAAGATATTTACATAATAAAGATATATATGATATATACACATTAAAGACATTATATGATATTTACACATTAAAGAAAATAAGATATTTTAAAATCTAATATTCAAGGCTTGCCAAGTTAATGCTAGTGCCAGCGAGAATGAATATTGGATCATAGAGGTAGAAACAGTAAAAAAACATGCTATTATTCATTTTCCCATTATAAACCTCAGAATTTTAACAAACAAATGTACACTTCCAAGTAAACCTTTATTGCAGGCCTTTATGAGAATGATTAATACATGTATAAAATTGATTTCAATTTCAATTAAATGTGCACTAGTTGTTTTTGATAAAAAAAACTTCAATTTTGATAATATTTACACTAAATATCTTATATAAAAAAATTGATTTTAACTTCAATAAAAATTTACATTAAAAATCTTTGATAAAAAATAATATTTCAATTTCAATAAAATTTACATTACTGTAAAATTTTGTATAAAAAAATATTGATTTCAATTTAAAACAAAATCATACTTAATATCTTTGATATCAAAAATTTATATCAATATAAAACTTTCCATCAAATATCTTTGAAAAAATATTGAGGCACATATAGGAAAAATATATGATATTATGTTTTAATACTTTATAAATGTGCCCTATTAGTAATTACCAAAATCAAAACACTTTCACTCACCAACCATAATTTTACTTCCAATCTTTAAGTCAATGATAAAAATTATCAAAGTCCCTTATCTAAACAAAAAGGTAACAGTGTTCATTAACACAGAAGACAAAAACATGCAGGAAGAATTTCAAGGGAATAGTTGACTTGACCACAGTATCTATCATGGGTTGGCATTTGTGAAATTTATGTATTTTGACTATAAGTAAAATAACAATAACAGTCCTATTTTTTTTCAAAGTATGACTGTAAAAACATCATTTTCATACTTTTTCATACATAAAGTAGAATGCAATATACAATGTATATATATATATGAAGGTATACACATATTGTAAATTTCAATAAAAATAACAATAAACCACTTTAAGGTTCATCATAAACCCATTTGCAAAATGACCGTGTTTACACCACAAGATTTCTTCTGATTTCCAACAAACCTGTGCAAATGAATATGATTTAAGGCCTTCAGGACCTTGATATATAGAAGTTAAATGTAGTTAAATTTTTTTTGTCTATTTTCAGAACAAATGTTGTGGTGTAAAACATGACCAATATTTGCTATTATTGGATTATGATGAACCTTATAAAGGCTTTCTCAATATATACTGTGGATTCATTAATATTCATGAATTCCAATTTTCATGAATTTCCTTCGGAAAGGTGAAACACGAATTTAAATGTTCAATTCAGTACAAATTTTGTACAGGCTTGTATGCAGACTTTGGAATATTAACGAAAATTCAAATTTTATTCAACCAACCAAATATAAATGAATTCATAGTACATTTTGTACTTTATTTGTTTATTAGAAGTAACAGGATGTACCATGGGATGTAGTCTTGAAAACACCTACCTGTCATCTAAATATAATAATTACTTTCTTCATCATTACAGTACTAAATCAAGATACTGAAACTTTAAATTTAAAATCTGAAACCTCTTTGCATAGTTGACAAGGAAAGTTTAACAATTGTACTTATCTCCCTTGCTTTTGTGTAAGTGATCTAATTATGGAACAACATTCCTCTACACTGAAGTTCCTCTATTTTGTGCAGCAGATCTTTTCTAGGGATTTGTTTCAGATCTTCCTTCAGATCTAGTAATGTGTAATGCTGGAATTCTTCAATCAGATGCATGAACGGACTGTCGATTTTACGACTTTTCCACTTCTGTTCTAGCTGGTATATTCTACCAAATGACCATTTATGGAGGTCGGCAAGTTTCTTCCAGTTGTAATAATTAGAGCAATCCAGGGTGTCTCTAATCATTACCATGACTGTTTCCTTTAATTCCATTACACTGACTTTGTCAGGATTCATGTATTCTTTCTCCGTCATACCAGAAGCACCACCTTAATAGATAAATATTAGATACTTACGACTTTTCAGGTGAAATTCATATTAAATCACATATAAGCTCATTTAAATAAGCTCATTTAATTTTTAATGTGGAAATCATGTGAGCTAAATCTGAAGGTTGAATAGATTCTTTATTATTCCTTGGATACAAGTTTCATGTTTTTGATGGGTAGCTTTCCTGATATCCGTTTAGTAGGTCGTCAGGAAATGATACCCCTTGCAAGGCTTTCATAAAACAGATGCAGTTGACCAACTACTCATTATAAAGACTATTCTGAAACTACAACTTTAGTAGTTAATCTTACTATATAAATCCTTGATTTAATGCAGTGCAGAATTTTTATCATTAAGGTGAGGTCAAGGACACATGTCATATGCCATATCTTAAATGTTTTTTCATAAAAATAATTAAACTTACAATAATGGTTTCTGATTGTAAAAAGATAATTGAAATTTAATCAAACCAACATTAATCTGGAAAGCATGGTATTATTACTTTTATTTCAAAGACCTGCAATTTCGATAACAGTCTGCATGCAAGGTGAATAACAAGTAGCATAAGCGATGTAAAAGATGAATACAATGTTTTTATTAATTCCTGGGTTCCAAAATTGAAGTCACAATTTGCTAAGTTTCTTCTTAGCTTATAAATGGTTGTGTTATTTGTTGTTCATTGTTTTTGTTTGTCATAATGTCTTCAAATTGTCTGTGAGTCAGGTGCTGGTGGTTGATGTAATAAGTTGCATTTTGCAGTACTTTCCAGCGATCCTAGTTATCCCTTTTTATGGATAAGGGCTTTTCAGTAAAACATACACTGGACCTAGGGAAGGCACTTTAAAATTTCAACTATTGGTTTGTATATAGTACAGAGAAAATGTAAGTGAAATTCTAAAGCCTCTATAGGTGGTTACCCCTTTTGCAAGTGCTCCTTCCCTTGGTACAATCTATGTTTAAATAGAACAACCAATTTTAGAAATAAAAAAAATTCGTAAAGGGTTCTGCAAAACCCAGTGTCTCACCTACTTTTGCTGTTAATCGCAGGCTTAACAAAAATGAGGAAAAAAATTAATAAAAATATTCCTCTCTATACTATCTTTTGATTGTAAGTAGCTTCTGTCCAAGTTTGGTAAAAATCCAGGATAGTTTATGAATCTAATAAATGTTTTAAAAACTTAAACTGCAGACTGTATGTAATGTTAACTGGAAGAAAAACTAAGTCCATTTATAAGTAAAAAAAGGAAAAAATGGAACAAAATTTTAACAAAATTTCCTTCTAGATATTAGCTTTTAATCATAAACAAGCTTCTGTCCAAGTTTGGTACAAATCCAGGATAGTTTAAGAAAGTCGAAGGCTCGACAAAAAACTAATGACAAAACATACCAGCTGAATGATAAGTCTCAGATGAAGGTCCAACATCACTCTGAAAATGAAAAATTTGAAACATTTTAAAGAGTACATATACAATAGCAATGATTTGGAAACTTACTTGAATTTTATGTATATATGACTATTGTTTGAGATGTATAGATTATTGAAAACAAAAATAAAAGACCTTAAATTCTCCTCAATTAATCATATCCTAGATACAATATAATTTTCTGTGTAAATAAAACACACAAAAAGACGTGAGGTTATAATGTAATTGACAGCCATAAAGCCATAAAATTGCAGAAAATATGAAAGACTTAGTATATGATTTGTCCAGATTACATGGGTGTCTTGTCTTAAAAAACTGTTACTAACCAAAATTTTTAAGGCCTGAATATTAAATTTTATTAAATGTTAAATCTAAATGTTAAAGAAGCCAGACAAGTGCAAAATGTTCATGATGGAGTCTTTCAAATTCGAAGGAGAAACTTAGTCTACATGCAAAAGCCACAGTAAATATGATTTCTTCTGGTCAAATAAAAAATATTTTACATCTCAGAATTTCTGTTATTTTCTATTTTTTGTAGCTTATCTTATAGTACAACTCATAAAGACTTGTATGATTGAATAGAAAAATTGTAATAAATGACTACTAATATTTACCATTTCATGTTTTGGAATAACAGAATGTCCACAATGGCCACAAGAAAAGGTCCTGTTATCTGAAATAAGATATATAAATTCAATTTTTAAAAATAAAAGAAAGGTGCTATTCTATGAGAATTTACAGAGCTAGTTACTTTATTACTTCCTCTGTCCTCCCTTTACAATTCTTCAAAAAAAAACTTAGGCAAAAACACAGTGAATTTGTACAAATTACTTTTGATTCATTATTATTTGTGGGATACCTTTTATTCTAAATGACACAATTTTAAAATTATTTAAACCTTTTTGAAAATACATTAGAAAAACTTAAAACATAAGAAATATATCAGTATGTGAAAGAAGTAGTGTGCAAAAATAATGAAAGAGCCATATGATATTTCAATACAATAATCAAGCCTTCTAATTGAGTTGCCAAGCTCTGGTAGTATATGTCACTAATTCAAATAATGCCATGTCATTGGGTAAAATGTCACTGTACCTACTGTTATCAACCAATCACAATTTTAATTTCATTAACCATATTTGATAGGATTACCCAGAATGCAATTGTTTTTGAAATGCTAATTTGCAAATAAACTTACCTGATCCATCTGTCTGTATATTAGGATCATATGTTGGAGTATAATTCCTGTTGATTGCAAGTATCTCTGGTCTAAAGTTCATGTTATTTGTTGTATCAGGTCTGCCAGTGGAACTGCCTGCTATAGATTTTGGCTGTAAGGTATGAAACTGAGGAAAACTTGATGATTGTTGATGCAGCGTTTGGCATGAACCGCACCGACAACTGTACCCTCTGCCACTCTGACAAGGCAAAGCATAAGGACCAGATGAATCAAAGCTATGTCCATTCAGAGACCAAGGATGTAAGGGTCTATTAAGGTTTGGGGACTGAAGGTGACTGTGTGACTGTAAATGACAATGGGACTGCAAAGTTCCACGTGGCTGTTCATTGCTATATGACATTCCAGCTTCCACATATGATGTAATTCCACTCAACTGTGGATATAAGTTGTTTGTAGTAACACTCTGTAAATTATCTGGTAAACTTTTCCTTTCTCCTTTGTGTTCAATATTATTCCGTTTGTTTTCTGGTAAACTAACTGAGAAACCTGTCAAAAAAAAAACAAACACATGTTCATTATGTGTTTACTAAACCTTGCTACTGAAATAAAAAATTATGTACATTTTACCATATTTTTCAGTATATAAGGCTAGGCACTATTTTTTTCTGGATAGAATTGAAAATAAGACTAAAAATGAGGCATCTGGAGCTTACACCAAATCCTATTCCCAAGATTCACACTTAAACAATCACAAAATATAAAATAAATATCAATTATTGTGTCTCCTAACAGAAAAGCTTTGGGAACAAAGAGAGATCACTAATATTGTCTTACATTATCCCTATTGTCCAGGTCACACTTACTGCTATTCTGCAACCCTTTTCAGCTTGACATAATTTCAACAAATTTGGACTAGACAGGTGTGATGTTTAACAAGAAGTTGCACATGATGTAGTGCAAGGTATACCTATTGTAACACATTGATGAAAACTTCCATGATCAGTGGGTATAATAGAAATTCAAATATCATCAAATAGGAAATGACTGCCAAGCAGATCTGAAAATTGCTTGCACTGCTGCACACCTCAAAGTTATAAAGATATAGACCAAAATATCATCTGATTACTAACAGGGAAGTTGAGTAATATGTTACCAAATATGCCATGCTCAGTGAGTATGATAAAAATTCAAAGTATAGCAAACTGGAGTTGACTGTCCAGCAGATCTGGAATCACTCACTCAGTAAAAAATTAACATTAACAAGAAATGATTGTAACAGGATGCTGTTACGAAGTCTCCCAAACGAAGCTCCCATAATTCGTAATTCTCAGGGTCGCCTGACATTGGGCAACAACAAGTGAAAATTGGTTTGGTCAAGTAAAGTTATATGCATTAGTGATGCCTGGGGACTAACCCTGTATATCATTTAAATCATCTTGGCATGACAAACCAGAATATATATGGTTAAGGGGTGGGGATCTCGACCATTTACAAGATACTAGAACATTGGGGGTGGGGGGAACCCCTGGGGACTGACCCTATACGTCATTCAAATGTTCGTTACATGAGGAACAGGAATATATATGGTTTAGGGGTGGGGATCTCAACCATTTAAAAGATATTAGAACATTGGGGGTGGGGGGAACCCCTGGGGACTGACCGTATACGTCATTCAAATGTTCGAGACATGACAAATAGGAATATATATGGTTTAGGGGTGGGGATCTCAACCATTTACAAGATATTAGAACTTTCTCAAATGGCAGGGGGTCGGGATGACCCCTGGGGACTAACCCTGTATATCATTCAAACCATCTTAGCATGACAAACCAGAATATATATGGTTTAGGGGTGGGGATCTTGACCACTTACAAGATATTAGAACTTTCTTAAATGGCAGGGGGTGGGGTGACCCCTGGGGACTAACCCTGTATTTCATTTGATGTGCATTATCATGAAAAACCAGAATATATATGGTTTAGGGGTGGGGATCTCAACCATTTACAAGATATTAGAACTTTCTCAAATGGCAGGGGGTCGAGATGACCCCTGGGGACTAACCTTGTATATCTTTCAAACCATCTTGGCATGACAAACCAGAATATATATGGTTTAGGGGTGGGGATTTCGACCATTTACAAGATACTAGAACATTGGGGGTGGGGGTAACCCCTGGGGACTGACCCTATACGTCATTCAAATGTTCGTTACATGACGAACAGGAATATATATGGTTTAGGGGTGGGGATCTCAACCATTTACAAGATATAAGAACATTGGGGATGGGGGGAACCCCTGGGGACTGACCGTATACATCATTCAAATGTTTGAGACATAACAAATAGGAATATATATGGTTTAGGGGTGGGGATCTCAACCATTTACAAGATATTAGAACTTTCTCAAATGGCAGGGGGTCGGGATGACCCCTAGGGACTAACCCTGTATATCATTCAAACCATCTTAGCATGACAAACCAGAATATATATGGTTAAGGGGTGGGGATCTTGACCACTTACAAGATATTAGAACTTTCTTAAATGGCAGGGGGTGGGGGTGACCCCTGGGGACTAACCCTATATTTCATTTGATGTGCTTTATCATGACAAACCAGAATATATATGGTTTAGGGGTGGGGATCTCAACCATTTACAAGATATTAGAACTTTCTCAAATGGCAGGGGGTCGGGCTGACCCCTGGGGACTAACCCTGTATATCATTCAAACCATCTTAGCATGACAAACCAGAATATATATGGTTTAGGGGTCGGGATCTTGACCACTTACAAGATATTAGAACTTTTTTAAATGGCAGGGGGTGGGGGTGACCCCTGGGGACTAACCCTGTATTTCATTTGATGTGCTTTATCATGACAAACCAGAATATATATGGTTTAGGGGTGGGGATCTCGACCATTTACAAGATATTAGAACTTTCTCAAATGGCAGGGGGTCGGGATGACCCCCTGGGGACTAACCCCATATATCATTCAAACCATCTTGGCATGACAAACCAGAATATATATGGTTTAGGGGTGGGGATCTCGACCATTTACAAGATATTAGAACTTTCTCAAATGGCAGGGGGTCGGGATGACCCCTGGGGACTAACCCTGTATATCATTCAAACCATCTTAGTATGACAAACCAGAATATATATGGTTTAGGGGTGGGGATCTTGACCACTTACAAGGTATTAGATCTTTCTTAAATGGCAGGGGGTGGGGGTGACCCCTGGGGACTAACCCTGTATTTCATTTAATGGGCTTTATCATTTAGAACATTTTCAATTAAAAAGATTGTGTTTATCACAAACGGTTTTCAATTTATAATCATTTGAAAATTTAAAAAAATAAAATCCCATAGGGTTCTATAGTAAAACCCTCTTTTCTTTTTGCCCCTCAAAGTACCCCTTTATAAACCCCATTGCACAAACAAAACCCTGATTGCACCACTAGACATGTTAGTCTAACATATTGTGAAACCCTAAGTTAATCTGACAAGCGGTTGTGGAGAACGGGTGCGGACAAGTTCAAATTTAAAAGCGGCGGAAGAAGAAGAAGAAGAAGAAGAAGAAGAAGAAGAAGAAGAAGAAGAAGAATAATAATAATAATAAGAACTGAGCAAAAACAATAAGTCTTCCCAAACTTCGTTTGGGAGACTTAATAAGTTCCTCACCAAATATCAAAGCAATCCCCTGAAACAAAAGCTGAGTAATTTATAAAGAAAGTTAAGGGGATGGATGGACAGACAAAGTGAATGCAGTATACCACCAGATATTTGGGAGGGTATAATTACAAAAAGTGCAATTAAACAGGTTCCCAATTTACACAGATGTTGATATAAACATGTTTAATGGTATAAGTAATCAAATTTATGGGGGCCTCCATGGCAGAGTGGTCTGAGCTGTTCAACTCCTGTATCACTAGCCTGTCAACACTGAGGTTGTGAGTTTTAATCCCACACAAGGCAGGGGTGTTGACTCAAATCTTAATTCACTGCAGAAGGTTGATGGTTCTCTTCGGGCACTCCAGCTTCCTCCACCAATTAAAACTGACCACCACTAAATAGCTGACAGTGCTGAAAGTGGTGTTTTCAACACCAAATATCAATCAATCAATTGATAAAATTTATGACATATTTACCCAGATTTTGTTCACTCCTTGCCTTGTGAACACCCTTTTCCACAGATGGTCTTTTTAAGTCATTCTGGCATTGTTTCTCATCAAGATTGTCATCAACACTAGAGAATGTATGTATACTTTCTACAGCTTCTGGTCCTAAAAAATAACAAAAAATGCAATTTCACATGAAAACCAAATAGATCCATTTTTTACACAAATCAATACAAAGTTCCCAGGAAGTCAAGGGAGAGAATCAGACAAATAACACACACTATAAACCAAACAAGGTAGTAATTTCCGTTTACTGGACCTGTTAACAACTATAAGTGATAGTATTTTTCAACATTCACCAGGGACCTTATTGTCTGAATCTAAGTAGTTCATCTACATTATAAATCACTAGCATGTCAACACTGAAGATGAGAGTTTGAATGCTTCTCCTGGCAAGGTGTGTTAGACCCTGATCTTAAATGACTAGGATTGCAAGTTTTCGTGCCAAAGTTAGATGGTTCTCTCAGGTCACTCTGCTTCTTCCACCATTAAAAACTAGCCAAGGGTGCCAAAAGTAGCATTAAACATCAGCAAACAATCAACTTTCACATAGACTGTCATTGACTGCAATTGGAATTGATACACTTTGTCATACACAGTCTGCCTTTGAAGACTGCCAAGGAGTGAAACATGCTGTGTGAATCAATGTGTAAAGTAAAATCAATGACAATTAATCCAAAAAGCATACATGGTGTTTCACACAATAGAGGGACTAACAGACAGAACATTGACCCTAAAAGATGACAATGGCTCATTTAGCCCTCTGAGCTAGGTGAACTAAAAATGCAAATTTTTATCAACGCAATATATATTCTGTCATATTTTTCACATTAATTAAACCTTTTCAATGATTTCTGAATTAACAGTATTTGGAATACAATTTTTTACTTGTTTTCACATTTATTACATTCAAAATTCATGTCATCCTTATAAGTACAGTAATTAATACTACAGCACATATTAATTATAATAATAATATGGCGACCCTAAAGGTGAGAGTGGCTGAAAGTTACCCCTATTTATCAAGGTTTCAATAAGTTGAAAATTATTCATTTCCACAATCTACAAAAGTTTGCATTTTTCGTTTACTGATCATTATAGCTGGTTAACGGAAACTGATAAGAGAATTTTACAAAAACTTGACAAATCACATGTCTGATATTAGATATAATATTATATTGACAAACTTAGCAAATACATACTTGCATGAGTGATTTTCGTTGGCTGGTTAACAACTGTTTCATTCAAGAAAGAAGAATTGGACAAGTGATCAGCACTGTCAAATCTCAGTGACTGCATTGCTTGACATGTGTTTGTTGTTTCTGAAATTTTGGAAAGAAAATAATGTTTCCTTCTGTAAAAATATATATTGTTAGGTTGTTTTTTTTTAACAAAAACTACAATATCATTACCCCCAACTCTATTCTTAATTAAATCTATGTATGAATGACAGACAAAATTTGAGTAAAACACAAATTTATATTACAGCCTTCAGTAATTGTTAAATGTTCATTTCTGGAAATTCATATAAAAGATGAGGTGTCACAGGAACAAAAAAAATTGTGGAAAAGTACAATTTTTTAACATATTTTCAACGTCCAAAGGAGGTTATTCCCCTTAAAAGGTGGTAAAAGAGGTTGAAACACGAAACATATCTGTAATATGAATAAATGGAGAGTCAGGAACCTGATGTTCAGTGGTTGTCGTTTGTTGATGTGGTTCATAAGTGTTTCTCGTTTTTTATATAAATTAGATCGTTGGTTTTCATGTTTGAATGGTTTTACACTAGTCATTTTTGGGGCCCTTTATAGCTTGCTGTTTGGTGTGAGCCAAGGCTCCTTGTTGACCTATAATGGTTTACTTTTACAAATTGTGACTTGGATGGAGAGTTGTCTCATAGGCACTCATACCACATCTTCTTATCTCTATGTAGGGTATATGTCAGTTAGACAGCAACCCAATGACAAAGACTAGACAAAGATGATGCTGCAGCTGCATTGATGAATAAAATGCTCCAAACATTGGATTTAGTTAAATAGCAATCTTGAACACATTTTCCATTTAAATTTTTCTCATGTGCTGGTATACAGGTTATAAATTTCTTCATACACTAACATTAAATCATTTTTCTTTTGAAAGAACTGAACGCTTTTTATCATTAAAAATATGTATGTACCTACCATCAAACTCTGTAGGAGATTTACATATTTTCCTTATATAAACTTGGATCAGTTCCTCCTCAGAATCAACGCAATTTCTCCAATCACATTCATCTGCTGCAAACATTTCCATCTTCTCATCAGTAACAAGTTTGAAATATATAAACTTGTTAGGCTTGGATGTAATCCCTGAAAAGTAAAAGGAGAAGGTTAGAATAGGCCCCAATATGGTCCCCTATTTCTAGCTGAAATTTCAAATTAGTATTTAATGGCATCATAGTTAAAACATTGCCTAGAAAGAAAATATGTCTATTATTGAAAATTTATATACCAGCTGCCTCAACGTCACAATTTGCTACAATTTCAAATTTCCACTAAATTAAATGAAAGCAGGTTAATATAAATTAGTTTTCAGGACTGGAAACATAAAAGCAAATGTGTTGACAGAAAAGATATTTTAACGTTATATTTGTTATAACAAATTACATATGCCCGAAAACTTTCTGCAGTATTTCTACTTTACGAAGACACCATAAGGAACGCCACGAACCAGTCGCAACAATGTTTGAATGCAAACATTGTGTTGCTACCTTCACTAGAAAATCAAATGCCGTAACACACCTTAAATCAAAACACCCAGATAAAGCCAGAGAAGATTATAATAGCTTCCAACAAAATCCTCGTGAAATGGCCAAAGCAATAGAAAAATGGAGACCACCATTTGAAGCCGTACAGAAAAAAGAATGGAACGGGAAAACACCTACATTCAGGACAATACCAGCTAAATCACCGTATGAGTATCACCAATCATCCACCTCAAAACCGAAAAAACCCTCAACAAGTGATTTGGAACAAGACCTGTACCTGTCGGATTCCGACTCTTCTTTAAATAACACTCCGCAATACATAACAAACGATTACGGTTATGTCATGGACCTTACTCAGGAAGACTACATAGACCTGACAACAAGCAGCAGTGATGAAACCATATGTTTAGATGAGCTACCGGAAGAACTATGGGACAGACATGTGTTTGTACATTCTATTTATAACATTTTTAGCTGAGACAATAATAACACAGAGTTGATATACAAACAATTTTAATTTACTTTCATTTTCATGTTGACAATCTATTTATATACATTTTCTATTTATACTTTCACTATTACTTCCCTTTCATAACAACTACTATACTATGACGTTGTCACAAGACAACCCGATTGTACACTTAAGTATGTTCAATGTATTATTTGTATCCTGATGACGGTGCCCTAGGCACCGAAACATGTCGATCAATAAATTTTCTGCAGCAGTCCCTCCAGTGTTGTTGTTATAAGACTTTCTACAAATTACATATCAGATTTGAATATTTAGCTTGTTGTACCCTGCACTCTCTGTCTCTTTGTTTCCTGGGCCTAAATGTGGTTGAAATCCCATAGATTTTGTTAACTTGGAAGGCTGGAATCTAGATGTCTTTTTTTTAATTTTTCTTGTGTTGTTATGCTGCCGTCCTATTGATGTATAGCCCATATCTTCTTTCATATTCATATATGAAGTCCTTTGAAGTGTTTAGTGGCTTTTCTAATTATTTTTTTATAAACTCTGTTTTGAAATGATGTAAACACATAAAAAAGAAAATAAATGTTCAAGAATTTTTTCAAGATTTAATTGCAAAGGTAGTTAGAAAAGCACTGTAAATAAAATTTGATAGTTGGTGGTTGTTTCTTAGATATGATTTAAAAAAAGTGGTTAACCAAAGAATATTAAATAAGTTGAAGGATGAATTGAAAATGCCTTTTCCCATAATCCTCCCTTTACATTTATTTCTGTTACAAGTCTAAAATCCAACATTCATACTTAGTATTTTGGCCACAAGTTTTCCACAACATTCTAGTAAATCAACCAGTTCATCATCTAGTATTAGCACACAACATTTATTTACATCTACCTCCAATTTTTTCACATCTTCAATTCCTGAAAAATAAAGAACTTTATTCTTTTTTGCTATTGGTGAAAACACTAAAAATCATTCCTATAAATACAAAATACAATAAAGTAAATCTTTTGTGAAAACAAATAATTCATTAATTCCAAAAGTGGCTACTTTCTGGCATAAAAAATGTTCTTCTCAATATGGCTATTGCAAGGATTTTTTGTACTAAATTGGATTTAAATTAGACCAGGGTATTTTCAAAAAGTAAATCAGTCATTGACAAGTGAGCAAACAAAATACTGTGATAGAACATATGGCAGGTAAGCAAAATTATGACCCACAAAACTATTTTTCAATTACTGTCAAATAATATTTAAAGAGATGCACAAAATAAGAATTTTTCCTTGCATTCTATTGTTACAGATTAAGAATAAAATGCTCCGCTGGGCGCAGCTTGATACAACCGCAGAGGTCGAACCCTGAACAGTTGGGGCAAGTATGGACACAACATCCAAGCTTGATACAGCACTGAATTTGGATTGTGATTAAATATTTGACACAGCATAGGTTTCTGACACAGAATGAATGTGGTCTAAGAACTTAAAAATTTGTAATTTACCTATTCAAACCATATCATTATTATTTGCTTTTATATATAAATCAGAAATAACCAATTCAAAATGGAAAATTTTAAAGAAAAAAAAAGGAAAAAAATGAAAAAAAAATCCCTCCCCCAAATTTTTTTAACCCCCTTATGATTCACCACCCCAAAACTCAATCCCAGCCTTCCCTTTGTGGTATGATACCTTGCAGTACAATTTCAGAGAGATCCATACACTTGAACACAAGTTATTGTCTGGAAACTAGAAAAATGCTTGTTTTTAGGCCCCTTTTAGGCCCCAAATTCCTAAACATTTAAGGCAATTACCCCCAAACTCAAACCCAGCTTTCCCTTTGTGATATGGAATCTTTTAATACAATTTCATAAAGATCCATACACTTAAACACCAGTTATTGTCCTGAAACTAGAAAAATGCTTGTTTTTTGCCCCTTTTTGGCCCCTAATTCCTAAAATTTTCAGGTAATTACCCCCAATATCAATCCCAGCCTTCCCTTTGTGGTATGGTACCTTGCAGTACAATTTCAGAGAGATCCATACACTTGAACACAAGTTATTGTCTGGAAACTAGAAAAATGCTTGTTTTTAGGCCCCTTTTAGGCCCCAAATTCCTAAATGTTTAAGGCAATTACCCCCGAACTCAAACCCAGCTTTCCCTTTGTGATATGGAACCTTGTAGTACAATTTCATAAAGATCCATACACTTGAACACAAGTTATTGTCTGAAACTAGAAAAATGCTTATTTTTGGCCTCTTTTTGGCCCCTAATTCCTAAAATTTTTAGGCAATTACCCCCAAAATCAATCCCAGCATTCCCTTTGTGATATGAAACCTTGTGGTACAATGTCAGAGAGATCCATACATTAACACACAAGTTATGTCTGGAAGTTACAAAAATGCTTATTTTTGGCCCCTTTTTGGCCCCTTATTCCTTAACTGTTGGTACCATAACCCCCAACCTTCCTTTTGTGGTATTGAACCTTATGGTAAAATTTGATAGAGATCCATTCACTTAAACTAAAGTTAGAGTGCGAAACCCAATGTGTCTTCGGACGACGACGACACCAACGTCATACCAATATACGACCGCAAAATTTTTGCGGTCGTATAAAAATTGAACAGAAAGAAAGTATGCAACAGGGGAAAAAATGATACACTTAAAATTTAACTGTTTTTCCTCCTAATAACTTAAAACAGTACAATGTACATACCCTTACACTGCCTGACGTTAACAGATATCTCATTTCTTCTACAAATCTCTTGTACCTGGTTTACTCTACTACTGGTAGCTTCATGAGAGGAACAAATTAACTCCATCTTTAGTCATGCAGTGTTTTCATACCTTTTTTACAAGCCTTTTCTAAATTTCTTCGCTGCAAGTAGACAAACATTCATAGTTAAGTCAATAAACAATTCTAGGGTAAAATAACATCAAATTTGAAGGCCATATTGGCATTAACTAGAGTATAACATGTCTCTGGTCAAAATTAGGTACTATTGAGTAACCTAATTAATGTAGTCTGATTCAGACATCCATGTGCAGCAGTATCAATGTCCAGCAGTTGCACAAAGAACCATGCACAACATGGAGCTCACCACTTTTGGGACCTCTTAGTTGTTTTGTTAATAGATCATGTGAACTATATATTGCCAGCATTGTTGTTGTGGTATTAATCATTCTAACAAATCTTCTACCCAGAAGTCATGAACTAATTTACACAAACATTAGCCACAACCACCCAAAGGGTCAGTAGTTAATTTTTTTACTTATTTATATCGGTGTCAACCTGTTAGCATGGCTGCTGTTATGATAAATGGAAAATATTGGTCAAATGCATATTATTGGCGATTAATCTTATGTTCTATAATTGATAGGAAAAATTACTTGTGAAATAAACCTAAAATAATGACTTTCAGAAAAAGTGCCAATACCCCTGCTGGCTAACCAACATGACTGCCATTGCTGAAAATAGAAAAAAATCTATCTGATAAAATCAATCCTGATCAAATCTGAGTAAGTTGGGTACAATTGTCTTCAAGTGATGCTCTTTCTTAAATAAAGCTAATGACAGACTGCAACTTGTCCAATATTACCACCATTTTTCTATTTTAAGCAATAGCTGAAAAGTTCACCAGTTGGTTGGGGTGTAAACATATATTTGTTTCGCCTAACAGAAGTTCCACTGGAAACTTTGTTATAAACAATGCCAAAATATCTATTCCTGTTGGAACAAATATTTTAGAGTCTTTATTCCATCAGGAACAAATATTACAGAGGAAATGATATTACAAAATATCTCTTCCATTTGGAACTTATATTATGAAGGAACTTTTGTTTCATTTATATTAACAACTAGAAGCCATGCTAGCATAGTTAACATGAAAGGTGATCTAATAACAAAACAAGTTAGAGGTCCTAAAAGAGGTCAGATGCATGCTGTGCATGGTTTATTGTGAAACTACTGCACAGGGAAGTGACTGCTAAGTGGAAATTACATAAATGCAAAAATTTTTGGTCAGCAAATTTTTTGAATACCGAATTGTTTATAAGTTTGATCTCTTGGATGCTACTGATTTTCAGAGGGATCAATTTTTTTTTTTTTCGCAACTAATACATTTTCTGGAAAAAGTTGCTAAGCAAAAGTTGCTGATGCAAGGCATTTCTGTAAAACTGCCAGTTCGGCCACAGTCATTTCAGCCATACTGCCAGCAGTTCATCCATACTTTGTAAAGTTGTTTCGGCCATGGTTTTCATTGTTATAAATAAAGGAAAATATATTTGTTTCTAGAAGCAGATTTTAAGAAAGAAATGGAAAAATACTTTTTTATCATACATTTATTTTCCTTGATAAAAATGTGTATCAATTGATGAATGTTATGAAAATGGTGATATTTGGTATGATTGCTGATGTCAGAAACAACTTAAAGTTGATGTGGATCCTTTGGCTAAAATGGCTGCATTTTCACCTCAAAATTTACTCTGAGTACAGACAAACTTGAGTATCTGGAAAATGTTTAAGACATAGCATGCTCTAGATAAATAAAATTCAAATACATATTATGTTTTAGAAAATTAAAAACGTAACTCGATTTTGCTTTGCACTCTTTTTCATTCCTCCAGAAGGTGCCAAATAAACAAAGTTGGGAAAGAGGTTTGAGAACTTCCCCACAGGTAATAATTTAATAATTGAAGTGAACTGTAATGATTGACATGGGCAATAGAGGGACAATAGATATCTGACAATAATTGGTGATTTAAACTGTGTACCTGAGTGGACCATATCAAGTGAGCCTCGACTGTTCGTTAATTTTATCATCTTCTGCGGAGGCGAAAAAAAGTGCACTGCAAAATCCAGCTATTAAAGTTTTTTAATTTTCTAAAACATAAAACGCATTTCAATTTTATTCATCTAGGGCATGATATTGCCTTAAATCTTTTCCAGATGCACAGGTTAGACTGTACTCAGACTAATTTTTGAGGTGAAAACGCAGCCATTTTAGCCAAAGGGTCCACATGAACCTTAATACGAGTTCAATCTTAATAGACTGAACAATATCAAACGTAAATTTTTTTAACATGAAATCAACACAGCAGATGTATAAATATTAGATGCAGTCATTGTTGTCCATGTTTCTCATACTTATGTTTGTTATGGACAAATTCTCTGTTGTAAAGCAATATATTAATGAAGCACCAAAGTTAAAGGGAAACTTTGTTAATGCCTTTATCATGCATGACATCTTCTTGTTTCACAGCAGGTGAACATACATATTATGACAAAATGACTTTTATGTTAAGTAACATTCTTTCTCAAAACAATTAATGCATATATATATATAATATATGTTATTAGAACAATATGAAATAGTGTGGCTGAATCGACTATGGCCAAAACTGGTACTGTGGCCGAATTGACTATGGCCGAAACGACTGTGGCCAAACTGGTACTGTGGCCGAAACGCCTCGAAAGCAAGTTGCTATATTGACCCAGTCTGATTGACCGGGTCTCACTAATTAGCGACAAGAAGCTTCAAGAAGCGACAAAAAAACTTTTTTTTTTATTAAGATTACTTATTCCAAATAAATATTAAAAAATATGCATTTTTTTTTTAATCTATGGGCAGAAATAAATTGATAATTTTTATTATTATATTGATAGATGAAGAAATTAAACATTTGTATGAATAAACGAATGGAGATAAATATAGAGTTGGCATAATGATCATGAGTACCAAACATGTACAAAATATACTGATTTATTAATCAAAGGTAAACCAGATGCGTTTCGGATTCTAGCAATTGCACAGAGCACATACTTTTGCAAGAATAAGACTGAAATGCTGACAATTTACTTTATACAAAACATAAAAGTTGAATGGCTTCAGTCAGCTTGTTTATAGAGCAAAGGAAATGCACACGCTATAAAATGGAAATAAAAACAAAGATTTTTCAACTTTCCTTTGAAGAATTTATTGAAACAAAAACATGAAATATTATTTCCATTCTAACAGTACAATTCATTGTTCTTGATAGGAACAACATTAGATGTGGCTTCACCCTAAGATAATAACAGTACACACAATGTGAAACATCTGAGATTAACGAGGCGCGTGTCCCTTGTTTTATTGCTACAATAACATCCAATTAACACCTTCAACTTTGTACACGCGTCAGACTATACAATTACACGCGCCAGAATATACAATCATTGTAAATAGTGAACATCTGTTGAAAACTCAAAATTGTCATTACTTTCCTTAATCTTCAATCAACATTAAACTATGCATTAACATGATAAATATCATTAAATTAGGAAATACACAAAATAAAATGATGAAAAATATTCACATTTTAATTATGTTTTCCTTTTGTTTGATTTCAGTTCTTTGTATTTCACAATTTGTGTCAGAGTATTTTCTGGACAATGATGTACAAATAATGCATTTTGCAAGTTTATTATATAATTTGTACAAAGAGAGTTTTAAAAACAAATTATAAGATAAATATATTATTGTTCTAAAACACAAGTAAAATTAATATCATAATACGACAGGGTAAACGTAATACTTGCTGTAATACATAATAAATAATAAAATATCACAAATAAATGTAGCAATTAGATCTATGTTTCAAAAACTTGTGATGCTTTATTACTATAAAAATTCGTAAGGGTTCCGCGGAACCTAGTGTCTCGCCTACTTCTGCTGTTTATCACAGGCTCAACAAAAATGAGGAAAAAAATTAATAAAAATATTCCTCTCTATACTATCTTTTGATTGTAAGTAGCTTCTGTCCAAGTTTGGTAAAAATCCAGGATAGTTTATGAATCTAATAAATGTTTTAAATAAAAACTTAAACTGTTATGTAATGTTAACTGGAAGAAAAACTAAGTCCATTTATAAGTAAAATACGGAAAATATGGAAAAATATTTTAACAAAATTTCCTTTTAGATACTAGCTTTTAATCATAAACAAGCTTCTGTCCAAGTTTGGTACAAATCCAGGATAGTTTAAGAAAGTTGTTAAAATTTTAAAAACTTTAACCACAGAGTGAATGTAATGTTAACTGGCAGAAAAACTAAGTCCATTTATAAGTAAAATACGAAAAAAATGGGAATTTTTTTTTTACAAAATTTACTTCTGGATACTATCTTATGATCACAAACAAGCTTCTTTCCAAGTTTGGTACAAATCCAGGATAGTTTAAGAAAGTTATTAAAATTTCAAAAACTTTAACCACAGAGTGAATGTAATGTTTCCTGGCAGAAAAACTAAGTCCATTTATAAGTAAAATACGGAAAAAATGGAATTTTTTTTTACAAAATTTACTTCTGGATACTATCTTATGATCACAAACAAGCTTCTGTCCAAGTTTGGTACAAATCCAGGATAGTTTAAGAAAGTTATTAAAATTTCAAAAACTTTAACCACAGAGTGAATGTAATGTTTCCTGGCAGAAAAACTAAGTCCATTTATAAGTAAAATATGGAAAAAGTGGAATTTTTTTTTTACAAAATTTACTTTTGAATATTATCTTATGATCATAAACAAGCTTCTGTCCAAGTTTGGTAGAAATCCAGGATAGTTTAAGAAAGTTATTAAAATTTCAAAAACTTTAACCACAGAGTGAATATTTGTGGACGCCGCCGACGACGACGACGACGCCGACGGAATGTAGGATCGCTATGTCTCGCTTTTTCGACAAAAGTCGAAGGCTCGACAAAAATGACTTTTTCTATCTATTTATTGATGGAATATTAACTTTCTTGTCGCTAAAATTGTTTTCTTTTGCATATTCTTTTAATATTTATTTGGAATAAATAATTTTAATAAAAAAAAAATGTTTTCTTGTCGCTAAATACTATTATTCTTCTTGTCGCTCCTTGTCGCTTCTTGTCACTAAAATTCTTCTTGTCGCCGGATTGACCTAAACAAATGCACTTTTTATTTTGTTTTGCTAAATATAAGAAAATAGATTTTTATGCACTAAAAATTTATATTCCATTTGGGCTATAATGGATTATTATGACCCATGCCCATCCCGAAAAAAAGCAAATCATGTCACATGGGACTGGGAAAAGAAGTCGCTTTTTTTTTCTGTCTATGAGTATGACAGCGAGGTTAAATGCAAAGCACACATTTGAATAATCTTCAAAAATGAAAATAACTTGATATATCTTACTTGTTTACTTGGGCTCAAGTTGGACACTTGTTTTTATTGGCTATGACTCACGAGACCAGTGGTATATTTTATTGGGAATTCCCTACTTTCACTTTCGTTAGGTTACCGATGAATTCCGAGTAGACTTGCATTTTACCCAACGAATATAGTAATAATTATTTATCGTTTTGTATTAATAAGAAACAAGGATTTTTCTACTTTTAAAGACCATGTTTCTCTGAATATATTTTTTTAAAAGCAAAAATAGGTCATTTCTCAACACCCATTGATTAATTGAGTTTTTGGTTTTTAGTCTGAGCAACAAATTTACATCCGGTTATGCCAAGAGTTATTCCCCGTCCTGCCAGCAGTGCAGACAAGTTGGGACTATGACAGGAGACCCAAATAAAGCAGTCCCACTTCCTAGTGGTCCTGCATCTCTTTGCTTTGATAAAGATGTCTTCATGAAGGTAATAATGCTTCCTGTGTTCCTGAAATAAAACTCTATAAGCTCTTAACATGCGAATCATTTTAAAATCTCTAATATTGGTGGCAGACCTTACCCAGTAAAGGTTGAAACAGCATAGGACAAAACTAAGGTTTGAAATGCCCTCTATGGTAGGTAACTAGAGTTCGAATGTCTCACGGGGTCCTTTTTTTCCCTACTAAATACTAAAAGTAAATGAGCCAGCCTGATAGACGACGTATTTACACTTGTATGCAAATTTGTTTGCCATTATTTTAAAACCATTAAAGTTCCCGCAAATTATTGCATCATAAATTTTAAACATTTGATGTCATAATATAAAAGTGAGTGTTGCATTACGTCAGAAGGTAATTTGAAGACAAATCAAGGGTCATTTAGAGACAAAATTCAGCTTAATACCAAATGTGTAAATACATTTATGAGTACCTTAAGGTAACGGGTGCATGTTGTACTTGTCATCACACATTTCAGTAATACAACATACAAATTTGCAGGAAATACTATGCTCCTATTGAATGTTGTCAGATACAAATTTGCAGTAAAATGTATGCTTTTTTAAGATGTTTTACAGAAATTCTTGAAAAAAGAAAACTAGAAATAACTTTTCTGCCATGTTGTTGAAGCATGATAGTAGCACCTGTTGTAGACCAAAATCGACCTTTCTACCATAATTTCTGCTTTCAGGAGCATAATACTGTAATATGAGACAGATGTTTAATACATGTCATGTCTATGAAAGAGGTTGAAGTCTGTATAAGTGATTAATTAAATACTGATTTTTTTTGTTAAGAATAAAACTACAGTAGAATGTACTAAAGTCATCAATTATTTTTCACATTTTACAAATTATGACATGAAAAATGCAAAAATCAGTTATTTTTGAGATAATCTATTGCCTTTCTAGACTGAGGGCTAAATAATGAATACCTCTTTGCCTCATTGAAAAAACAAATCAGAATTCCCTGCATAATTTCTGTTGAAAAAGTAACTGAAATATGAAAACATATCTGTAATTGGTCTTGTCATTAGGAATTTTATTTCTGACTTCATTTTCAATGTAAGCAAAGAAACACTATCTTCAGATAACGTTTTTTTCATAAAACAACAAAGATACAAAGTTGACTTATTAATAAACTTCTTGTATCTGATTCCTAATATGAGATCTGTTCGATGTGGATGTTGAAAAAAGTCTTTATCATTAATGATTTTTTTCTATCTATCTGCATACATCTTCACACATGCAAATTAAGGAAATGTCAAATGGAATGATTTAAATAGATTTAAACTCCTACCACACTTTTCTATTTTTACACCCTCATCCTGATAAAAACGAACCTTTAAGCTGATGTTTTCATGCATACAATGATGTCTTGATCCCAAAATGTATAGATTTCTGATGTTTTTATGTGACTTTTGTGTGAAAAAAGATCCCCCGCGAAAAAAGACTGTTTCTCAGATACTATAAGCAACAGGTTAACTTTATTTGATATATGTAAAGATTTTAAGGTGTACATGTCTGTCTGATGAGGTTCATCTTACCTTGACCTCATTTACTGGTACTTGGATCATTTACAAATTTATTTTTATGTTATACTAGCTGTGTAACCTTTTTCTTTCCGTAATTTGAACCCCTGTTTGTTTAAGACATTGTATTAATTATGAATGATATTTTGGAATTTGTTTTTTTCATTTCATTTCTAAATTTTCTAATAATTCATGGTAGGTTTCTTTGTTATTCTGTATAAATTCATTTTCAGAATGACATTTTTTTTTTTGGATGAAGCGAACCACAGGCCCTTTAAATACTTAGCTAATATTGTCCATTAGTAAATAAATAAAATCAATATTATGTGTACTTTGATATTCTGAATCAAACCATGTATTGAGATTTTGGATATTGGACCATAATAGGTGAAAGTCCGATTTCAAATTTTTCAGTTCTTTGACCACATTCATTCTGTCTGTGTCAAATATTTATTCACAATCCTAACTCAGGGCTGTATCAAGCTTGAATGTAGTGTCCATACTTGCCCAAACTGTTCAGGGTTTAACCTCTGCGGTTGTATCAAGCTGCGTCCAGCTGAGCATTTTATTTTTCTTCTTTTTTCATATTTACTTCATTACTCAATAACCACATTAATTCAGATAACAAAAGTTTTTGTAATTTTTGTTGAAAATGTTTTATATCATAAGATGTGCTATATGTAAATATTATTTTTCTACTGTGATGAAGGAAGACACTATGTTTTAGTAGTGATTCTGATTCTTTCACATACAACCTTGTCTGGCCCATAACTTTTTTTTTATCTTTTTGACAATGGCTTATGATATTTGGGGTGAAGGTGTATTATCTTTAGAAGATGTGTGTATATCATTATGAACATCATGTAACCTTGACTTCAAGCTCAAAACACTTGATTTTTGTTACATTTAGCGACAGGAGCATCCTTTGACATACTGGTAGGCTTTTTATATTCGGTATATGGGCGCAACATCTCAAAGACATTTGTGTTGTGTAATGGAAGATGGCCTCTAATCTTGAACTATGTATGACCTTCTAAGTCAAATAATTCATATCTATATATCCACCTTAAAACCATACATTTGAACATACTCTTGCTTGCCATGACAGACATTTTCCATTAAAAAAATGGTTTGCCCCTCATATGATTAGTCGTTGAATATCTAAAAAAAAAAGGTTCAGATCCATACCACTTAACATTTAACAATGTATACTCTGAATTGCCTTGGTAACCTTTTGAGTAAAACAATAAGTTTTGTACCTGGGGGACATACCTTGCTACCAGCATAAAATTAGTTGTTAAATCCCTTGAAAACTTTCCTATTCCCAAAATTGATCAAAGTAAGTAAACAACCCTCACAACCCCCATCAACACATTCCTTAAAAATATTAAAAGAATCATTTTCAAGCTTTAACAGACATGACAGAAGGGTTGCAAATTTTTTTATCAGCAGTCATCTAAAATGAGCCACTTTTTATTTACAGGAAGGATTTGATGTAGATAATTTTGTGATGGAATGCAGGAGACGCGTACCACTAGAGACTCTAAGAGATGACCTGAACACTTACCTGAAAATTCTACGCAGTGCCATGATAGAACTTATTAATAAAGACTATGCTGATTTTGTCAATTTATCTACAAATTTGGTAAGGGTATTGCTAGATATAATTGATTACTAGGCATTTCAAATATGAATTGATATACATTGTAATGGTTGGTTCTGAAGAAAACATGAAGCCTAAAAAATGAAAAATTAAATTTTTCAGATTGAATTGTAAGGAATATATCATCCCTTATATGAATACACCAACGAAGTTAGAAAAATCAAGAAAATAAATGAAGTCAGTTAGAAAGGGATAAATACACAAAAAAAAGTGTCAGTGAAAAATAAGCTGGCAAACAGTAAACTTTGAACAAACTTTAATGTCAAACAGTATATTTGACAGCATAGATTAGACACAAGTATTACATTAGTTTAACTAATTTTTAAAAGTTGGAATTCTTTTTTGTGTGTAATATGCCATTTATGATTTAATATGTACATTCTGGTATGGGTTTTTCTCATTGTTGAAGGCCTTACGGTTGCCTATAATTGCTTACATCCACTTCATTTGAACTTTGGTGGATAGTTGTCTCATTGGCAATAATACCACATCTCCTTATTTTTATATTGAAGTTACTAACATGTACATTCTCTTCAAAGCAAACATTGAATTAAATATGTACATTCTCTTCAAAGCAAACTTTGAATTAAATATGTACATTCTCTTCAAAGCAAACATTGAATTAAATATGTACATTCTCTTCAAAGCAAACATTGAATTAAATATGTACATTCTCTTCAAAGCAAACATTGAATTAAATATGTACATTCTCTTCAAAGCAAACATTGCTTACTGTTCGGTGTGAGCCAAGGCTTCGTGTTGAAGACCGTACTGTGACCTATAATGGTTTACTTTTATAAATTTTGACTTGGATGGAGAGTTGTCTCATTGGCACTCATACCACATCTTCTTATATCTATTGAATTTAACATGTACATTCTCTTCAAAGCAAACATTGAATTAAATATGTACATTCTCTTCAAAGCAAACATTGAATTTAACATGTACATTCTCTTCAAAGCAAACATTGAATTTAACATGTACATTCTCTTCAAAGCAAACATTGAATTTAACATGTACATTCTCTTCAAAGCAAACATTGACTCCTTTTTGCATCACATATAATCTCAAGCATAATTTCAGGTTGGAATGGACAAAGCTATCACTAATCTAACAGTACCATTGGGAGAAATGAAAGACCAAGTTATGGTAAGTCTTTTATACTTCTTTCTTCGGTGTTAATCAAAGTTGATGAGATGAGAACAAATAAAACTTTTGAAAATTTTGTTTAAAGGTTGTCATAGTATATTGTTTGTAATATGCCATATGTATACACTGATGAGCCGTAAGGCTCAAAGTTAATAAAGAATTAGAATTAGAATAGTAATTATTTAATACAGAGAACTAGTGCAATTTGTTCAATATAAAGGGTCATGATCTATAGTTTAAGACTTGCAGTATAATTCATTAATAATCAACTGGTCTTGTGGTACTGTGCTCACCTCAAAA